AGCCATTATCACAAGCTACAACATGAGATCTTTACTCAAGCGTCGAGCTTAAGGGAAATGGTTGGTTGACTCTAGTGCAAGTGGAAGATTGTTAGTGTAGGTGTCCAACATCCAACCATGTTTAGATAGGTTTGAGTTATTATATTATTGTATTATTTATAATAAAAGAAGTATTTTTATTAATTCTTATCATTTACATGTATTCATTGAATAGAATTAGATAGAGGTCCATATGATATGCATTTGCATTAATGATTGATCGAAAGATATGAAACAAACACTAATGCATATAAATGATATTGTTAAATATCCCAAGTCGTAGCATTGTCAATAATAGACATTGATTATATATGATTAGACTTGTGAGTGTTATGCTCATACTATATAATAGTAATAAGAGATCTCATAACTATTGGCATGATGATGTCAAGGCAAGCACTTAGGTGATTTATGTTAGAAAACATATTATTGGACTTGACTCACCAAAAGAACCCATTTAGTTTAATCTATGAGAATATCATACGAGATAGGCACAACTAGTCCTTAGACTTGAAGTCATCACGGTTATCTAATTGGAGGATTCATGTACATTGATGCTCGTTTTGATGGATCCGGTAAAGGGTTACATGTGGATGATGTGTTAGGTTCCCTAGGATTCTAATTGAGGTAAATGGATGACTAAGATAGGACATGTCATTCCTTGTATGTTAAAGGAGTTATCACATTGCACTTCGATAAATGTACGTTTAAGAAATCTATGACCACGGTAGGAGTACACTAATAGAGTATAGTTAGTTTACTCTACTAACTAAGACATTTGAAAATCAACAAAAACTTATGTGATCATGATCGAACAAGTAAAAATAACCAAGAGATCACATTGTGAAAAGTTAACATGATGATCGAATTGTATGGTACCCATGCTCGTGAAAGGTAATTATGATTTAATTAATCCTTCTAGAGAATTAGGTAGTCATGTTATCTTACTAGAGGTCAATCTTGACTTATGTATTAAGAGATAAAAGATGTGTCTTTTATTCTTGATACATTGTCAACATATCTAGAAGCCTATTGAGTCATACGCATAAGTTTAAGCATTCACATAATTAAAGAGAAGCAAAGATGTTGGAAAAAGTTTTTAATTTTAAAATTTTCCTATTTTGGAAAAGGTTTTCAAAAATGAAAATTTTCATAAAATGGAAGTTTCCTAAAATAGAAAGTTTCCTATTTTAAAAATTAGTTTCCTAATTTAGAAGTTAGTTCCAAATTTGGAAGTAAATAACCTAAAATAGAAATGAGTTTTGTAATTTAGGTTTAAGGGTAATTTAAGAAATTATTTTCCTAATATAGGCCTCCTAAAATTATCTAACTTAATTTATTTGGATAGTACAAATTAATTAATTGGGCCAAAAAGGCTTTGAACTAGTAGGTTTAATTAAGAGCTTGAAAGATATTTTGGTAAGAGGATAAATATGAATCTTATTAAATAAGGATGAATGTTTTAAAGATGAAGATCAAAAGCCTACATGCAAAGTAACTCTTAATCCTTGAAGAATTAGGAAGTAATGCTGCCCCTCCTTATACTTGGAAGACAAGGAAGCCTCTCCCCTATATATATGGGAGAGAAGTGCGGCAATAAGTGTAAGGAAATAGAGAGAGAAAACAACATAAATAAAAAATAGAGCTAGGGTACACACCTTAAGAAATAAAATAAAAAGAAAAAATAGTTTTCTCCTAAAACCCTAACACATGCCACCTTCTCTCCCTCTCACTTTTGGGTTATCACAAAATTACTCGATTAGATTTCTATAAGAAACACTAAATAGGTCAAAAAAGGTAGAGCTAACACTCTACCAATTTTCGAGTGCTTCTTTTATAGGTGCTTAGACTCGCGTGGATTATGAATAGATCGGACACTTGGATGGCCTTTTTTTTACAAATGTTTAAATCTCTCGCTACAAGAGGTAATTCTTTATTTAGAGCTTTAATTTATGAATATTTGGTTAGTTGATTCAACGACATGATCTTGGGCCACTTTAGATACGGAAAATTTTTGTTTTATTCCGTACCTTCATCCGATGCATGACCCTTTAAATTCCGTCGCCGAATCAAAGGTCATCAATATTCAAACAATCATGATGTTATCCGATACATCGATTGTGTCGAGGCTAAAAATGGATCCCATGTTTGAACCGATGTGTCACTAGGACGAATGAGGCCGACGATCGTTTCAATACGATGTCAAGTCCAAAACTAAAAACTTACTTCAACTTGAAAATTGGAGTCAACATAAAAAATAATTTGGCATAAAAATAAAAACACCCTAGGAGATGAATTTAGGATTAAACTAGACGTGGGTCTTTTCCTAAAAAAAGACATCTTTTGGTGATCGATATCCTCCTAAAGCATAACCAACTCTTTACCCGAAAATCTCTGCATCAATACTATTTTTAGGTTCCAAGTTCCTTAATACTAGGTGGCGACTTCAAAATTATAAATAATTCTGTAAATAAATAATTAGTATTATATCATTTGTTTTTGGGAGTTACGTTCGACGTCGGGTAGCGACACATAAGATAACCAAACTTGACTAATAACCAAGAAAACATTCAATCTTAATAAAATCAGAAAAAAAAAATCAAAACAATTTTAGTTAATTTGACTTCTTAAGACATTAACAAAGTAATTAAAGACAGTTCAATCACTACTAATTCATGAATTCATTAATTTTTCGGACAAGACCTCTAAAGTTAGTTTCAATAAAAAAAAACAAACAGAAAAAAAAGATGTTTATGTTATGGAATAATGATTATTTATATTCTTTTTATATCTTCACTACTTATAATTTTTAATATGATTTAATTCATCTTTCAATACGAAAAATTAAAAGAATGATGCAATTGATTCAACTATTTATGTATTTTTTTAATTATTCATAATCTCTTCTAATTCTTTTATTGTTCATTAGTTTAAGATAAAGTGTTTTGTAGAGAATGAAAAAATTGTTTGGAGTTGATATATTTTGTATTCACTTTATATCATATCAAAATTATTTTTCTATCATCTTTTTATTATTATTTCTTTTACTATTATCGCAATAACCTTTTGCTATTGCTGTTATTTTTTCAACCATTTATGCTTAATGCATCTTTAATTAGTATTTCTTTTATCAATTGCGGACCAAATATTTTCATAAATTTCTTTCACTCCAGTTTGTTTATCTACATTTATTTTCAAGGGTGTCCCATAATTTTATCATTTTTCTAAATAAAACACATCAAAAATGATTTTTTTTTTCAATTTTATTCTCAATTATTTGATTAATTATAGCTCTATTTAAAATAATCAGATTTTTGGACACATATATATTTTTTAGATTATATTCAAGCAGAGAAAACAATATATGATATCTTGATAAATGGTAAAATTAAGATTCAATGAAGTGTAAATAAAATGAAACGGAGGAAGTATAATGATGCATCAAAATTCGAACATAACTTCTCTGTGAATTTGATGATTTACGTTTGTCCCATATTGGTCATGTTACGTATGGCTGGAAGGCATTGGCTGAAAATTAAAGCATGCATTGACGATCTTGGAAGTTTGGTATACTAGTTCTTTCCTGCTACTTCAAACAATTAATTAATTAATCACACAAAGACGACCTCAAGTATTATCCTCCATATTTTAGTAGCATCTACCTAATTTTGACCTACATCTGTACTTAGTTTGGTAAAATTTTATTAGTTACGTGATAAAGAACAGAAATGCAAAACTTTGTTCTAATTAAATGTTTGAAATATTGATTGGAATAGTGAACCCCAATATCTTATTATTGATTGTTATCATAATTAAGTCTCTACGTATTTTATTTTTTATTTTTATAATCCTGTAGACCATACATTGAAACACCAAGCAATCTGATCAAAACCAGTTTCGGGAGCTACAAAATAAAGTAGCTGCAAAAATCAAAGGAAATTAATGAGTTTGTGCACATGAAGGTTAAGATCTAGTATATCCTACACTTATAATACTATTTTGGAAGCTAAGATGATCTAAACTTCTGATACGATCGAATGTTTAATGATAAAATAAATGTGGTCAAGATCTCTTCTTTATGGTTAATGAGACCTAAAACTCATTCGAAAATATCTCTGACCATCTCATTAAAAAAAAAGGGTAAAAAATACTTAACAAATAATTTTATGAGATAAGCATGAGGTCATGTTTCATTTTTTTTTTTTTGTTTGGACTCAAATTTTAAGACCATTGTTTAAAATATTTTTTTTCTGGATGTACTAAATCAAAGTGGAGGGTTGTCGGAGAATCATTTTAATCCAAAAACTTAAATTTTTAGATAAAACTTCAAGATATGATTTATAATACTCTCTAACACACTTCCTAACTTATACACACCCCTAAGATAAGATTCGAACTAGCAACGAGTTTGGCCACAAAGGTTACGTATTAGAAAACATATTCCATATTGAATAGTTAAACTAAAAATAATTAATATATAAATTTGAAATTGGACTATCTATTAAAAAATTTAAATGTATTTTTTTTATATATAGAACTCAATTTCAATTATCAAACTCTATATAATATCAAAGACTCAAAGATTATGGAACCTATATCATTTGACAGATTTCAAAAGATGAACTGCAAGTGAGGAAGAGTGTTAAAGCATATATCCCATATTGAGTAATTAAACAAAAAATAATTAATATATAAAGTTGAGAATAGATTATCTCAAGCCAAAATCTTAACATTTTAAGTAAGATTCTAAGATATAATCTATATTATTTTTTAACAAGAGTTAACATCATTAAAATAAATTAAATTTAATTTCAATTAACGTAAACTTTTTTTAAAAAAATACTCTTAAAGTCAAATAAATAAAATAAAATAAAGTTACGAAATGCACTATAAAAAAGTGAAAAATGTCCCTTAATACATGTAAGCAGCATTGGACATTAAAAAAAAACTTTTATTTATCATCAAGAGTAGTTGATCAGCCGAGCATCATCTTGTCGATGGTTTTCCGCCCCGCTCTTTGGTCTTAAGAATGCTCTTCGATACGAGAGTATACTGTATACCACCTTCTCTCTGTCGTCCTTCTTTCTATTGCCCAAAAAACAACACGCTTATCTAATGTAGCATACATAGTCTGTTTTTACAAGATTGCTGTCTGCCTTGATCGATCTTCTCTCCTGACCTCTTCACAAGACATATGCAAGCTTCATCTTTCTTACAAGATGATGAAAGATGAGACATTGGAGTTGTTGATAAGCAAAATAGCTAATTGTATTGCCACTACAACAAGTTGCAAGAACACCATCGTCATCACAGTCATCGTCTTTGCCATACGACTATGCACAAAGGTATTTTGGAGCAAGAATCACATCCCTTCATTTACCTTCCGCCAAAATCAATATCCCAACAAGAATAAGAATAATGATTATGAAACCCCATACTGTGTGGTTTGCCTTCATGAAGTTATGGATGGTGAAAGGCTGAAGAAGTTGCCCAAATGCAAGCACTGCTTCCATGTTGCGTGCATTGACGCTTGGTTTCAGTCCCATTCCACTTGTCCTCTCTGTCGAAATCAGGTTTTTCTTCTCCACGATCATCAACATCAAAATCAGCAACGTAGTCTCTTTTTCTTTTTTCCTTCGTTTTGGCATCAAAATCAATTTTGAGCTAATCGCTATTAATTAATAGTGCTGTCATATTAATATTCTAATTGTAGTGTGCACGCTGATATTTTCTGCAAAGGTGTAGCTGTGTTGAGCTGTATATATATACATATATCAACAAAGCATGAATGTTATAGACTCAATTGGTAGCTGCCATTGATTTCAATTCCATCCTTCATGAATTAATGAAACCATGTAATTACTGTGAAACCCCAGCAAATTGCAGTACTGCAGGGAAATAAGGAAATTAATCAGGTTATTATAATACAATATTGTTTTTCCTGTGATCATGAGCTTCTGTAGTTTGGTAAAGAAACCTGTATTGGCACCCACGTACACAGCTCGATCGATTTTATTTTAATTTAATAATGATATGTATATGGTAGGTGAAACAAAGAACGGGCTACACTTACGCAATTAAACATGGTCTAATAATGGTATACTTAATAATTTTATTTTCAATAATAATAATAGTAATAAGACTCGAATCTTAATAATTACATTTTTTTTTCATATGTATATATATATAGTTTAACGTAGGCCTTTAAAAAAGAAAAAAATATCCCACTTGAAATTGCAGTTAATTTCAGTTGCAAGGGGCATCAAAAAGTAAAACGATGCACGTCAAAGAATAGCTAGCTTGTGAAACATTAATTTGTGGGACCAAACTCAAAACTCAATCATCCATCTGTCCAAAGCATGACATATAACATAGTGTATTGCATCCTAATCTATGCGCCCCTTTTTTTTTTTTTCCTTTGACAATAAAAGATATTTTGTTAATTGATATCAAGTTTTTCTTTTTCCAAGCAATTTTAAGACTATATTTTCTAGATCGATATAATGTAATTTAAAAAATAATCTCAAATTTTAAATTTCAAAAATAAAAAATACAACTTCTTAACTGCCAATCCAACTCTTTAAAATTATTTCATACCGTCCTATAGACACTCACCGATATTTGGGTAATATTTTTTTTTTTTATACACAATAGAAAATTCTAAAATACAAAAATTAGATTTTAGCCCAAGATATTTCAGTGTTGGATATCCATACTTTTGCGGGTTTTTTTTTTTTTTTTTTTTTTTAATATGAGTTTTGGGTACAACTTTCCCATGGTTTCACACGAGGTAATAGCCAAACATAACCTCGTAGTGTTACTATCAGCCTTCAACTTTTCTACTTATTTTCCAACTATCATGTATAGTTTCCAACCTTGCATTACTCCATCTCGTAATCTTATAGAGTTGATCCGATAGTTAAAAAGAATTTGTTCAACTTCTTGATTATTTGAATTTAAATTTTAGTACGAGTGTCTAAAAGAAATTATTAAATTTATTTGAATATATCAAATCAACGTGAATCACTACAAAAAAAATGTGGTATATAGCCATGGATTTTTTCGTCACTATATGTCAAAAATCCGTCACTATATACAATTAGACACACAATAGATATAATTTTAATTTCATTGTTAATATGGTACTCGTTATTTCCTTAGAAACCGAAATTTTTTTCCGACACTATTTTATTGAATTTTCGTTGTTAAATCGATCTAAAATAATCGTTTGTCTAGTCTTACATCCGTTGTCATGCCATTGTTATTTCCATTTATATCCATCGCTAAATAGCGATGGAATGACTTGTCGCTAAATAATAATCATAAAAATACTCGTAATTTCATTCCTAAATTCGTTACTATTTAGTGACCATATGTGTATTCGTCGCTAAATGTCCTTGCAATTTCGTTGCTAAATGAATGAATTTTTATTTTTTAAAAATCAATAGCCATACATGGTTAATTGTAATAACAAACAATTATAAACAATACTTTATTAAAACACAATATATTATTTAATAAACTTAAAATCAAATAAATATATAAATGCTTTAAGGTATATAAAAACATTAAAAACTTTTTTTTTTAAAAAAAAAAGGAAATCTAGTCCTCCTTAGATCATTTCCTGCATCATCTTTCGGCTATCTTGGTTGTTGAGAGAAATGATTATTTTCTAGGTTGTGGGAGGATCGGCAAAGGGATGTTAGTCTGCTGGAGGTTACGTAATAACCCCATCACTCTCTACAACTAAGTTTGTATGCTATTAATTTGACTAAGTTTTGATTTCATGCACTCTCTGCTTCTTTTCCCTTAGACTGACATCCAAATATATTTTAGACATGTAGATATCTGGAGATGATGAATTACCCTCATGTAGCTCCTTATCAAATGTTTTTTACATTGATTGCATGTGCTTCATATCATAGAAATAATTACAATTTTAAATCATAAATATATTTTTTAGATTATATCGATAGATGTATATATATTTAAAAACAATATAAAAATTTACCATTACTTGTTTGCGACCGATCTATCGACGAATATCCTATCCTCTCGCTTGTGAGTAGTCACGAACAACTCATAAGGATTTGGGTTACGACCTAATTTATTATGCTGAAAAAAATAAACAAAATAATATGAGATGAAATAAATATAAAAATTAATTTATAACACGATGGATAATATAGGATTTACTAAACACTCGGCATGTTCGATCAAAGATATGGACCTTTCGGTATGCTTAGATGGGCTAGTACCGAGCATCACTCGTCTTTAACATACGGTTTCGAGATGTCTATTGAGATTGAGCATGATACTCGAAGTGGCCTAATCCCGATGCTATGCTTCTTACACCTCATGTTTAATAAATATAGGTGTGTTATTCTTATGCTTTAGCTTGTTAAGCATGTTATCATGTCGCCTCTATGCTAGACTCTCCCAAAGTATCTTTAATCGGCGCCTCGATGATCGCATCCCATAAAAAGTACTTCTACATGAAAGAAAAAATAATATTAATATTTTCATGTTAAATTAATACTTTAAATAAAATATAAGCAAATAATTAATATGTTACCCAAAACTCATTCAAGTAGAAGTATTTCATCTCCATGGAGACGAGACTTTCATGTGAAGTTAGCGACGTCCAACCGTTTTTTAAAAATTATGATGATTTTTGTCGACCACTTACTTTATGGAATCAAACCATCGGACAAAATAAATAAATAATAAATAAGTGAATTAATGATTCCAGTATAATATATGAAAATATAAAACAAATTATTACATGTAAAACATATTAGTTACTAATTATTCACGATCCAATTGGTTTGTCCATCATCGGACCCGATAGAACTTCTTTGAGTTGAGGAAACCGTAATGGGATCGTCCACGATAAAGGGCATTATCGATGAGGGCATAACTAGCAAGGGCATTATTGGAGGGGATGTACACGTGTCGACACCACTATCAAGTTTACGGTTGTGGACAATTGCACTAACGGTGTCACATCCACGTACACTACCACTATCGGTCGCACGGTCAATATCGAGCCACGACCACTAACACCGTGACCACATCTACTCAATCCATAAGGCATAATTCAAGAATAACACTTGAAATAGTTTATTTAATTAATAATTTTCTTAAAAATCTAATAAAATTTTGACAATAAATTGCACCTTTCTCAATTTTGACGAGTCTCATTATTAGTCGTACGATCAATATTAGTGCAACAACCACTAACACTTGTGACCACATTTGCTCAATCCATAAGGCATAATTCTAGAATAACACTTGAAATAGTTTATTTAATTAATAATTTTTTTAAACATCTAACAAAATTTTGACGAGTCTCCACTTGTAAAGCTGCACCTTTTTCTATTAATAAATACTCAAAATTATCACATAAACAACAAATTAAATCAACGAATAATCAATTTGTGTACACTGAGACTCACGATTGTCTCGGATACTCCATTAAAATTAAATCCCAAACTTGCCCTCCCACCCCCATTGCGAGCACTAAATCAACCTTGTTTCTCCTCAATTTCTAGATGTCTCGACCCTTCGGGTTTGATGCATTACAACATATCTCAAACACTTCAATAATTATATACAAAATAATTAAACTAATTAATTCAATTCTAACCTAATTAAGTTTAAAATAAAAATAAATTAACAAGTATTAATATATATATATATATATATATATATATATATATATATATATATATATATATATATATATATCAATTCAACCAATTAAACTTAATTCATTCTAATTCTTACCAAATTAAGTTTAAAATAACAATAAATTAACAAGTTTTAATATAAATATGTTTTAATTCAACCAATTAAACCTAATTAAATAAGTAAATATAAATCAAATTAACTTAATTAATTTTTATTCTAACCACATTAAGTTTAAAATAATGATACCTTAAAATTTTTTAATATAAATAAAATTTTAATTCAACCAATTAAACATAATTAACCCAATTAATTAATTAATTATAAATCAAATTAACTTAATTAACTCTAATTCTTACCAAATTAAATATAAATTAACAATAAATTAACAAGGTTTAATGCAAATAAAGTTTTAATTCAACCAATTAAACATAATTAACCAAATTAATTGATTAAATATAAATTAAATTAACTTAGTTAATTTTAATTATACCCAAATAAAATTTAAAATAACAATAAATTAACAAGTTTTAATATAAATAAAGTTTTAATTCAACCAGCTAAACATGATTAACCTAATAAATTAATTAATTATAAATCAAATTAACTTAATTAATTCTAATTCTAACCAAATTAAATTTAAAATACCTATAAATTAACAAGTTTTAATATAGATAAATTTTTAATTCAACCAATTTAAAAAATTAATCTAATTAATTAATTAATTATAAATCAAATTAACATAATTAGTTCTAATTCTAACCAAATTAAATTTAAAATAATAATTAATTAAAAAAATTTAATATAAATAAAATTATAATTCACCTAATTAAACAAATTAATTGAATCTAATTAA